AGTGTATATATATATATATATATATATATATATTTAAAATGAAGGATGTTCGCTCAATTAATTTGGATGCATACTGAATAGATTCACAGATTAGTTAAATCAAGTAAAATTAAAATCTAAAATTCAAAAAATTGAATCAAATTTTTTTTGCTAAAATTGATCTAAATCAAATCGAAATATAATTCAGTTGAATTGGTTTAGTTTGATCAAACCTAAACTTAACATTTTTTGGCATCAAAATAATAAAAGCTAAATGTTCTATTTTAAAATAAATAAAAATTTAACATCTTATTCTTATTTTCTCGCCGTCTCTTTAAAATTATGAATTTCTAACCAATTTAAAAGAAACATGGCATGTACTCAATTTATTTTTTTTGAGGTTTTCACATATAGAGATTTTTAAATCGTATAATTTACATATAAAGGCTTCCATACATTTAATTTATTCATGAAGAATTTCGTCACAACTTTATTGCCGTACAACTTAATTTCCAAATAAATTTAATTTTCTCATTTTCAATTTTTTTTTCTTTCATTGATTTAGGGTCTGCTTGGGGCAGCTATTGATTTTCTTATAGTCTGCTGATAAACAGATTATTCTGATAATCTGATAATCTGCAGATTATCAGAATATGTTGGCTTACTGTTTGTGGCAGCTTATTCAAAATAACTTATTGTTAGTTATGATTGTATAAATGATCTTCCTGCCCCTGTCTGGTAAAACTGTTTGGGGCAGTTTATTCAAAATGACTTATTGGAAGTACAACAACATATAGTGCAGAAACATAAAATCATCACAGATCAATTTAAAAAGATGACAAACAGTTCTCACACTCGTGAGTATCAGAAAAATAAAAAAAAAAAGATAAAAACAAGTACAAGTACAATGAGAAATATTAAAATATTCAATTTCAAACTCTGACTATGCATGTCCTCAACTGCACTATCAACCTGGGAAAACATCGGTGGCTTCCCATCACTGCTGGCAGTGTAACATGTTGGAGTGTCGATCTATCAGAAGAAACCACAACGAGCTGAAACACCCCTGGGGCAGCCGTAGAATTGTCTCCCACTGCTATGAGGTTGACGCGACGTGAGTAATGGAGCCGGTAATGCACATTAACACCAAACAACTTTTTTTTTGTCACCGAAATCCTAAAAGACATGTTGATATAACTGCGAAAAAATAAAAATAAAAAAAATTGAATGTCAGACCTTATTCCAAAAAAGAAAGAAAAATTACACATCAAAATAAATCTATAATGTACGAAGAAAAGAAAGACTTGCTGGATTAACTGCCATAGATAGCATCTGCTATAGACTCTCTCAGATCAGCCATCTCAGCCACACCCTACGTGTTATGAACTTCAAATTCATTAAAATCATGCTCATCCTCAGGAACTGAAGGCCCGATCATAATTTCTGATGGTTCTTCATAGACATTCAGCTCATCGTTATCAGCCATGCTGAAGTTCGTATTTGAACGTGAAGGATGTCGTCGGATGAAGTTATGAAGTGTCATTGTTGCCACCACAATATGCACCTGATTCTGAAATGATATGACGACATATCACGTATGATGACCCATTTCTTCTTCCAAACCCCAAACGTTCTTTCAATTACCCAATGTAAAGAAGAATGACATTTGTTAAACATTTCTTTCCTACCACGAATAGTACCACTTGCTCGCTCAAAATCAGGAATATGGTACTTAGTGTCTAGATATGACTTTAGATAGCCCCTCTGCATAGGGTATCCAACATCAAGCAAATAGTATTTTCCTATTATAGAAGACATTGTTATTTTTAATTAATACCTAACAAGATTTCAGAGACTAAACTATCAAGTGCCTGTATGCTTTTGGAGAAATAACTACTTATTGTCTCCGATGAATGCTGAAATCTCTTCATAGCACCCCTAATTGATTCATTCTGTGACATAATATATAGCGTTATAGCCAATACCTCCCTTATTGTCGTTCTCGAAGAACCTTGGAGTCCGTGATTCAGGGATAACTCTTGCAAGAGATCCATAAATATCAGTACAGTCATTCAAAATATGTTACTGAACCTAATTGGATGTCCAGAAAACATTCCACCTACCCATTTATCCCCAACAAAGATGGAGGTCATTCGGGGTATACGATCCCTGCTTGATTGGTAATACTCCAACAATAATATGGCAATAGCTGTAACCCATGCCATTCTCTTACGACATTCATGTTGCGGATCCATCCTAAAGGAATTATGTGATTTAGTTAAAGACCTACATCCACAGTAAGACATCAAACATGTTTTATTATGCAATTGTGTAAGATTACATAGTTATGATTCTCAATGGAGAACACTACACCTGAAGTACATGTGTAACAAATAAGCAATAGACATTTTTCATATACTGACTGACTGACATTGAATGACATTCAATTGAAGTACAGGTGTGACAATAAAACATTACACATCTTATATTTGATATGTACCTTCTCGTACATCTCGTGAAATCCAATTCCACCCGAAGCAACTGCCGCATTTTCATCAGCATAAAAGACCAATGCAAACCGAAGCTCTAAAGACCAATACAACTCGTAGGTCTAAAATATAAGCAGTGTATTTTCTCTCTATCCTCAACATCAAAGAAAACTAGAAAACCCCATAAAATATACCAACCCGATGCTCTAAAACCCAAACAAAAATAATTCATCAACATATAAATGAAAGCGAGAGAATTCATGCACTAAAGAATAACATTCAAAGAATTGAGGGTTCTGTATGTAAATGCCCATCGATATATTAGCAGAGTATCAAAAGTGGACAACATACCATAGATAGCTTGCATTTCATCGCAACACTAAAGCCATAGACATAGTTCATCTCCAAGGCCAATAAATTCTCAATTATACAACTGAGTAACATTCAAAGAAAAGCCCCATGATATATTCTCTAATGGAATGTATCTAAATGCATTGCAAATAAATTCCCCATTATCTGCTAACAGTAATGCATTGCAAATGAAGTGGCGGTATTGTTTCTTCTCCAGAAAAAACAAGAATTCAAAATATTTTCATGCATTGCAATCACGAAAAAGATCCAAAGCATTCCACAATTCCAATTTTCCAATTCCAACATTTTGAACGATGAAGTTTTAACACAGAAACAAAAAGAAGAAATTTTTCAAATGACCTCATCACTAACTAGCTCAAGCCCATACATAAGGGTATACCCGAATTCATACGAATAGAAAAGCTCACAGAACAATATAATAGGTGCAGTAGAACACAGATCCAATGCATTTTGCCCTCCTGCCTTTCTGGTAATATAAAAAAAAAAAAAAAAAAATCGAAAGTGCACTCGAACACAGATCCAATGCACTCAAGTGTTCCCAAATAATTCAACAAAGACATCCTTGATAAACCCTCATAAAAACTGAATCTTGCAAAAAAAGTAAAAACAATCGAATCAAGCCACACAAAACCAACCGGAGAAGATCGAGCCATAAAACCAACCAGAAAGCATAACAGCACATAGCGAATCTTGCAAAAAAATGAGAAAAACAATCGAATCGATGTTTGCGAGGGAGAAGATCGGGGAGGGAGAGGGCGAGGAAGAGCACGTGAGAGATCACCCAAGGGCACGGGAGGAATTCGAGCCCTAAACGTCAGTCGCAAACGCCGAACGCAGGTGAAGCCCAACGATCGGTAGATAGAACAAAAAAATTAACGCAGGTCGCGGCGTTTATGAAACACCCACTAAACCCTTTATTCAAACGGCATGATGGCGTTCTTAAAACACTGCCGCACGTAAATAAGTTGCCCCAAACGGGCTCTTAATGGATATTAAATTGAGCTGAAATCCAAAAATCAATCATTAAACTTTTAAAATAAATATTGAAATATTAATCTAAAACTGAGCCAAATAAATCAAGTGATCTAACTTCGATTCAATTTTTTAATTTCGAACCAAATAATACACACTCCTATTATTTCAAGTTAACATTATTTGTGCTTAACAAATGTCTGAGTAAACTTTATAATCTCATTCACTAATTAATTATAGATTCTCAGGTTAAAAGTTTTATAAATGGACATAACAACAACAAAATCAATGCATGGGATCCGAAAACTACAAAGACCGATTTCATTGCATATAATGAGATTTGGGCGACATTTCTTCTATTGAAAAGAAGCCTACTCCGACTTCTTCTTAATTCTAAGCCTGAAGAGCTTAGTACTGTACAAACCCAAAATTATCATTAATTGACACGACTTAATGACTCAATTACATGATCATATCATCTGCCGTTCTGATATTGGACTGCTTCCAGACTCTCAATATCTTGACTGCAATACACATCTATCTCTTCTACTCGCTGAGATGTCGACGCTCTAATTATTGTTTCTTCATCACTAATCTGCTTTGATGGCAGCTGATGCCCTCTGCCCCACAGATAAGCATAAAGTCCAACAATGATAAGAGTTATACCTATCAGGCTGCAAAAAAAAAAAAAAAATAATAATAAAAAAATAAAAAAAAGTCAAACATTGTGTATATTCAAATTAATACGACTAAACTAAAATATTTATAAACTTACCTCCCGACTTTGACATCTCCAATCATGAAAACCGCTTCTAAAATAGTGGTAAGTATGAGTGACAGAGCATTAAACATGGTTGCATAGGAAGGACCCTTACGAGGAACAACCCATGAAATCAAGCAAAATACAGCTCCCGTATTCAGTGCTCCCTGCAAATAATTAAAATTTTACAAAATAAACCTTTTGTTTTTCTTAAATAAATCATATTTATATTTCTAATGATAAAATTTTCTATTCAGATAAGACTTCTCAGAACTTTAATACTTTAATTCTCACGTATTAATTATATGATTTTCAAATTAAAATTGCATTGTTTATTAAGTTACATTACACCGTCCATATTTGCAGTAAAAAGTTATGCTAAATCTCTAATTGTGTGAGAGAGGGAGAGGTGAAGACTTACAGAGTATACTACGAGCAACAACTCTAAATCCCATTTCAATATCCATTTGCTTCTCTTATGATTCAGAATAAAACCCAAAACTGCAGATTGAAAACTTGCAGCAACGCACGTGTACATAGTTGCACAATACTTGTAGGGATATCGTTGCAGCAATTTCGCCTGAAGTTTTATAAACTCAATCAATATTTAATCCTCAGTAATTTCATATTGATTTGTAATATCTCCAATGTACCCAATAAGAGAAGTAAAATAAGATTTTAATTAACTAAACCCGTGTCTCAGCTCTACCTGAACTATAGCCCAAGTGGAGAAGCAGAAGCAGCTAGAAATCAAGAACAAAGTCCCACGAACTTTGTGACTGCTGACGTCCCCGAACGCTTTCTTAGGGTTACTAATTTCCCATTTTGGAGAAGTTATATGAATGGTTACTCCATTATACATGCTGATAACCATTGCTCCTCCAACGCAGAGTATCGTGCCCAGAATTTTTATTCTTCCTCCTCGACTATCAAACCCCAGTCTCTCTAGTCTGCGCAACCAAACAATAGCATATATTGGATCAATTTGGTTGCAATATCTCTAACTTTGACTTAAGCGTAGTTTTTTATTTATTTTACCTGACAATCACTGCAAATAAAAATGTGACTACTGGCACTAAATTCAGGAAACTAGCAGCATAAGTAGCATTGGTATCACAAAGCCCATAGTAGTAAAATCCCATGGCGCCAGTAAGCCTGCAACGAAAGTGTTTGATTTTAGTCCCAACCTTATGCTAATATACATATACATGCATATACATACATACATACATATATGCGTATACATAATTTTCTTGGCAAGGCAATACATCCTTTTTGGATAATTTAAATTAATAACCCTTAAACAAAAAAAAAATATATATATATATATATATAAATATGTATATATAATAATTAAAAATATTTGCTTAATCTAAACAAAGATTTATAGGCACTATTTTATTATTGTTGATAACTATATCCAAAATTTCAAAGACCCAAAGACATTCCGGGAAGTAGTTGAGAATGAGCATAATGGCCTCCATAAAGTCTAATGAGAAGAATAATAGGCACCTAAATTCGATGAATCCTCACAGATCTGCATTCACACAAATTTTATTTTATTTTCTTGAAGCTATAATAATTGAAGATGATGTCCCTAAATAGACAAAAAACTGTCAATACATGATTATAATAAGACTTAAATCTCATCACGTATTGAGCTCAAAGCATAAGTAGGCCCATAGTGCTGCAATCACATTTTATTTTAATATTTCGATATGTCTGAGTACACATCAATTTTGAAATATAAACTCATTATAGTACTTGCCCGCGACAACTAAGACCCCCAGAGCAGGTGAAAAGTTAGTGGGGTACATCTGTAAGGATTTTATAATTTTTGTTTTGGTGGCATATTTTTGAAATATTTTTTTTTATATTTAGTTATTCTTTTAATCTAATTTGTTTTATCAATATTATCATAATTATGATACTATTAAATAAATATTGAGCCAATTATTGATCAAATATATAAATGCAAAAAAAAAAAAAAAAAGAAAAAAAATGAAAACTACTAACAGATTAGGGTTATCTTTTACGTGGGTATGGACCCATCAAGTTGTGATTTTGGCCATTGAAAATTATTGGTTTTAATTTCAATTAAAATTTATTTTCTGCATCAAAATACAACATGAATATTTGATGGATTTAATTTTAAAAATATTTATAATAAAAAAAAGCTGCGAAGTAAACTAATCTTATTTTGTTAACCTCAAGTTAAAAAATATAACTAACATGAACAAATACTCAAATATAATAAAATACTTGTTAGTAAACACCCATAAATAAGGATCAAATGATTTTGGACAATGAAATACAGATTAGATTTTGATAGGGATGGTCTCAAAATTGTGGATATTGTTTTGAGATTGATGCAACATAAAATTTGATTGATTTTGTATACTCATGTATTATTGAATTATAAAGTGGACCATTTAATGAAAAAGGAGAAACTATTATGGTTGAAAATGAGAATGAGACAACAACAATGACGGTTCACTTGGATTGGCTTAGGAGTCAAAGAACTCTTTATGAAGCATGATTGATGAAACCTTCGAGTATTTCTACAAGAGCGACAAATTATGTAACGAGTATTGGTTGATTATATGATAGAGATTGAAGATTTTCAGAACAAAATTATAACGAGAGATTTAGGTTGCGTTTAGGGCAACTTTGCGGCACCGCTCTGCACGTGCAAGCCTTTGATAAAATCGTATTTTGTCAGCTTTTTAAAAAAAAAATTGTATTTTTGCAACATGATCAGACGAAGTGTGATGACTGCCGAAAAGTTATGTTCTAACTTTTGAAAGTAAAATTAATTTATAATAGCCACTACAGTTTTTTGAATAACAATTTCTTTTTTAACAGCTTCACTGCTGCTCTTTCAAATAGATATAGCTGCCTAAGATCGACCCTCTCGTTTTCTTCTTCTCCCTTTTTTCTATGCTCTTACTTTCTGTTTTGATTTCAGAATTTATCGTATATAGTATTATCAACATTTATTTCTAATTAAAATATCTTATCTAGTTAATCATTCAAACATTCAACCTGAGCCCGTTCAAATCAATCGACTGCTGACTCGTTTTTACATCCAAAAAGAATTAGACTCTTGTAATGCATTTCAATCAAATAGCTTTATTATATTATGTTATGTTAGTGCCTTTTGTTTTGAAATTAAACCCCAAACAATTACAAGTATTTCACCTTTCGCAGAATATTTTTGAACTTATTATTTTTTTTGAACCACATGTGCCTTACCTCATGAGGAATTATTTTATTGTTCGATTAAATTAAAAAAAAATAAATCGAACATTTATGGAGCTAATATTACCTTTAAGGCATCACCATCAATCGTAGGTATGTCCTTTTTTGTTTGGTTGCGTAAGGAGGATGCATCGGTGAACGGTGACGTATTTAAAATTATGGGAAAATTACATACATAACACCAGATTACGTATCTCACATCTAAAATTTCATTTTTACAGACATATCAGGATGAAAAGATGATCTGACTTTACATATGATGTTTGTAATTATGAAAATTTAGATCTAAGACAGACAAATATAAAAAATTTGGGGGTTTCGTATGTAAAGCCTGCCAAAATTTTTTATTTTCAATTTTTTTTTTATTATATCTCAATATTCCATCATTTTTTAATCTAAGAAGACTTTCATCTCATTTTTAATATATAACTAATCTGACGTAAGATTGAAATATTAAAAATATCTGATTGGAAAGGTAAATAATAATTTGGGGGACATAGTATTTTGGAAGGGGTTGATCTCAGTGGGTGAATTGGTATGAGTTTATCTAAGTTTGGTGTGCAATTATCCCTTTTATTTTGGACGGTTGAGGATAAAGTTCGAGTTTATAAACATTTCTAATTTCACTTGTCCAAATTGAATTAAAATTGAATAATGGCATTTAAGAAAAAGGCAATTGGCGAGAATATTCTCGATAAATTTCAAAATTGCTGAAATTATTTTCAAGGATAATCTTATAAAACATTTGAAATCGAGTCAATTTTTTTTAAGAAAATCGATCTAATAAAAACTAAAATGTTTACTTAAACTAAACTGAACAAAAACCTCCTTGCAGATCAATGAAAACAATTAAGATTGAATTAATTAAAGTGATTAAAACAGCAATGTAATTAATTAAACTCACCCCATTAAAGCGTTGAAGAAGATCCAAACGACAATCATCCCATTTATTTCCTTCCACTTTCCTCTGAAAGAATCATATACCAACAAATGATCGATTAATTAAGAGCTTAATGAAACATAATTATGAAAAAAAAAGATAATAAAGAAAAATTAAGAGGCAGAGGGTTAACAGAGACCGACCTTTCGTTGAACAGAGCGAATGGCAAGACGAAGAGAGCTCCGATAACACAGCGGTACGTGAGAATAGAGAAGACAGAGTGGCCTTTGTTGAGCACAACCTTAGACAAGAGAAACATCCCAGTTGTCAGCAACTGAACCAAAACCATGCTGGATGGATCCTTCAGGCTCTCCAGTAATTGCTTCCCCTTCTTCTCTCCTACACTGCCTTCACCGCCCATCCTCCTCCTCTTCTTCTTCTTCTTTTTCTTCTTCTGTTTATGCTACTTTTTCTTCTTTGTGTTTAATTCGAATGGGAGGAGGAGGAAAGATGCTCGGGGGAGGGATTTAAAAGGAATAGAAAAGGGGAGGAAATGAATAGGTGAATATAGAATTACTGGGGGGGCACATTTAAAGTTTAGATATGTAATTAATGGCAGAAAATATCATTTCCATGGTGGATCATAAGTATGAGATATCTGACTCATTATTAATATAGATAACCTGTCTTGAAGTGAACTGTTAAGATTTTTGACTGTGATGGTGTGAGGATATGTTCATATGAATATGATACAACTCCATCATGGCAATAATATGAAGAGTCCAGTTCATATTTGTTAATTTTCTTCTCCTCTGAGGAAGTGAAGCAAAAACATATTAAAAAAAAAATGTAAATAGATTACTTATTGTATATATAATAAGATTATATTTTTGAAAATATATATTTTTTATTAGTTTTCTAGAGTATTCCTTTGTCATTCACTTGCTCTCAAGGCATAACAAACATGCTTGATATGTCTTGTCTTTTTGTTATTAATTATTTTTAAATCAAATGTGGTTCTGATGTCCCGATATATGTTGAATGCATGTGGAGAGTTTGCTATTTTGTTAGGTATGGCTCATATACCAAGCGGAGCCCACGAGCGGAGTGAAGCGGAAGAATTTGTCAAATTGAGAGAGTTTTATTATGTGGGTTGGGGTGCGGGGGCAACACCTCACAGTTTGGTACAAGGGTTATTTAAATAATTACATATTGTACTATAAGGTTATATATATGTCATTTTTGTAACCCTATGTGAGATTCTGAATTCTCTATTCTGTACTCTTTTGTTGAATATTGAAGAAAGCTGCCGCTCTGCTCCCTAGGGCGTAGACATCTTTACCGAACCTCATTAAATCTCTGTGTTCTTCTTGTTTTGTGTTGATTCCTATTTTTTTTCGTCCTAATTTCTCAACATGTTTTAAAATATGTCAATTAATCTATACTTTAATACTGTAAAGTAATGATGCATCTTAAAATCTAAATGATGTATCTTGCCACTCATTGAGCTTATTTGTATCTGGGGAAGAGATGGATACAATTTAAGGTGATTATTTGTTCGCCATGATTTTTTTTTAAATATTTTAAAAATTTGAATGCTATAAATGAAATTTATTAAGGTTTTGAAAAAAATTACAATTTTCATATATTCTTAAGGAAAGGTAAGCTTCTAGTGAAGTGAAATCATTGTTGTTACTCAGAGATACCACTTAATTATTTATGAATGTATTTTCTTATAAGCTTACTATAAATATGTATTGCTAACTTAAGAAAAAAAGTGGTTATGAGACATAAATATTTTTAAAACAAATAATTTTGATATATAAAAATATGGGATGAAGATTTCCACCATATTATTATTTATTATTATCAATTCAGTGATTGTATTATATGACATCTAAAAGATACAAAAAATTTCATCTAAATTTATCTTTGAAAAATATTTTACTGCATACTCAACTTGATATGTATGTGAGTTATATCAAATTGCGTCATGATACAGTCTGAGAAGACTAACAACTAATTAAGGGGGAGTTTGGTTCACAATATTGACATGATTTACGTCAGGATTTAACATAAATCCTGCCAAACTAAAAAAATAAACCTTAAATCCAATATTTCCTCCCTTTTCATGTAAATCTTGAATCTATTAAATCCAACTATTACGTGGATTTAACGAATTGAGGAAGAAAGCACACCTACGGGTCATCGCTTCTCTCGTTGTCGCGAAGCACTTCAAACAAATTTAGCAAGATTTAACCTTAATCAAACCAAACACATATATGAATTCTACCCTTTTGGATTTGATAGATCCAAATTTAGAGGAGTCACTGAATCCTATTTAAATTAATTCTTGTGCGTTGCCAAACACCCCCAAGTGAATTTAGAAAGATATATGTGCCCTCCAAACTTTCACAATCCCTCACACCACCAACTTTCCAATTGAAGAAAGCCGAAAGCACACCATTACTCCCAAGAAAAGACAGAAAGAAGCAGAGGCTTTAGGGAGAAAAAGAAAAAATGGTTTACGGAACTTCTTATCATGATTGCTCGGAGCTTTCATGTGCAAATCCATCTTTTCTTTAGTCCAACCCGACATTAATTCCCCATAAGTGCACGTTGCATGAACGACTGATTGCTAATTTTCATGAGATGCACACCACTAGCCGACTGCTTTTTAATTTCATGAGAGAAGTCATAAATAGTTGACGTTACTGATTTGATTTCAAGAAAATTACATACATGTCACACAAGTCATTTGTATTTATTTATGTGAAACTTAAATTTTCATATTTATGCTTTGTATGGTGTCATAAAGTTATGCATGTAAAGGCGTATTTACTTTTAAAATGTAAATAATAGCGATGTTTTCTTATGTAATGTTAGAAGAGTTGAGTGTTATGCATGTAAATATGAAGTTTTAAGTATTAGATGTGTTAACACAGTGTCGCGTACTCAGATCAGTTGGTCGGGTATATGCTTGTCAGTTGTAGGTTTCCTCTAGTATGGGGTTCGATTCCTCTAGTAGAAGGTGTGGTACTGGAATTGTTAGGCGCATTAGGGATGACCGAGGCTAGCCGTAATTCGTTTTTGAAAAAAAAACAAAGATGTGTTAACACATAGGAATTGTGTGGCTTGTATGTAAATGCCCTTTGAATTTATCAATTACTTCGAGTCAATAACCAATGGCTTAAAACCAAATAATTTAAATAAATATCCGAAACAGTAACTTAAAAAGCAAACAGAATCACCTACAAAAATTTAATTTGTTTATTTATTTTGGTACTAAACAAAAGTGTATACCATATCATGCACAAAATAAAATTGAATTATTTGGTTTGAAATTTTCTTTTATTTGAGTTCAAAATTAAATCATAAAATATTATATTTCCAGACTGCTGTTTTTAATGATAGTTTTAATTCTATTTAGAGTGAGTTAAAAAGGACTATATGTTATAAATTAATTTTTTTTTTCTAGTTTTGATTGTTTGAATGAATATATATTATGTAATTGCATTAATTTTAATCCGTTTTATCCAGAGTTGAATCCTTCAAATTACAGCAAGTTAAATTAAATTAAGCAAAGTTACAATATGAAAGTACATAAATAGATTTGATGCATGCTAGAGAATTCCCAATGATAAAGTGATGAATTATAGTCTTAGTGTTGCACGAGAATCCAACACACACTTATGCAATAAAAGTGATAAGTAGAATTATAAAAAATTTTTACGTGAAAACCCCAGAAAGGGCAAAAGCCATAGAGCTTATACAAGTTGAATGATCCACTATAATTTGGTGATTATACATACAAAGTCTTCTCCCACGGGTAAGAAATGGTTACACAGTTTCTCGAGTTATAACGGTCGTATACATAAGAGCTCATTGCCCATGGTATGGAGCAGTCACAGTGAGGAGTAGTTACTGGATACACCGTTTTTCAGACTGGCAAGATGTTTTGGATAACATACTTCTTCGTAGGACACTTCGTGATTCTGCGACGTCGTTTGTTACTTCCACTCTGCAACACAAGTCTTGACTGCGTATGAAGCTTCACTGCAACGAGTAGAGACCGACTGACGATGGTCGATGGTAGTTAACATGTGGTAGTTGATGATGGTTGGTTGTTGTAGAAGCTAGAGATATTCGTCGACTCTTCAGTACAGAAGCGATGCTGGACTTCAGCTAATTCTCCAAGCTTCGATCTTCTTCTGGCTCAAGATCTAGGTACTCTCTTAAGAAGAGGGAAGGACTCTATTAATAGAGTCTATGTTGCAAATAAGAGAAGAATCTAGACCACTATGATCAAACGATCTAGGGAGATTCTCTCGATCTAATGGTGTTCCATGCACATTTAAGTGTCTTAATGATGTCAGAATTGAATGATTTTGGCATCTTTGGATTCATCCTATTGAGACACTCAATTTGAATATAAGTTTGTTAGATTTGAAATGCATTTAACCTTCTACTTATGCACTAAGAGCTTTTAAAAGTTATTTAATTTAATGACTTGATCTGAGCTGATTTGACTCGGATTTGATCAATTTTGGTATCATTGAGTCCATCTCATTGAGCCGATTAATTTAACAGTAAGCCTGATAAAATCTAAGTTCTCGTGATTTTTAATCTGGGTTAGAATATTTGTTATTAAAAAATTATATTGAGATTTGTGATATGCCTAGAAATTCACGCCGGATGAAGAAATTTATTCATTGCGTCTCAAGATTGATTTTATTTAGCTTAGCTTGATTTTCTTATATTCATTTAGACAAATTTATTCTAACCCTAGCCCTCATCTGTTTCCTAGAAAGCGTAATTATGTCCGGGCTCAATAGATTATGAAATACATCACGTCATGTTAATTGATTTAATTTTTCCTTAAAGGATATTTTTTGTGGCAATTACATTTATGTATTTACATATGAAATACTAATTGTTACTTTCTACATTTATTCCCATCAAATCATTCTTAGCATATCAAAACGATAACTGTTTTATTTTGGACGATTTACATATATACCACTCAATTCTTATGTATTTACATATCCTGGACCCAAACTTCAATTTTCACATAGACATCATCTTTTCAATGCATAAAAAATATATCTTATTTTCCTAAGTCAAAATAATAGTACTTTTGATGTAATATATGTAGCATCAGTGTAGAAAAAGAAAGTTTAGCAGTGAGATCTATAGAAACTTAAGAAGTGGGTGAAAAGTTTTTAAATTTTAAAAGATAAAATATAACCTTTCATGAAAGTTGGCATATATATATAATTTAAAGTTCAAGTGTGCCGTAAGCTGTTGGTTTCGGGGTTCACTTTAACTCCCCTTAGGTCACATGTTCGTTCCCCAGTGACGCTAGGTTCTTAAATATTTTGGCAAATGACACGAGCTCTCATCATGGAGTCCAGTACATGAGAAATTGATATTTGGGTCTTTGCTAAATATCAATTTTCTTTTAAGAAAATTAAAGTTTAAATGTTAATATATAAATAAATAAAAAAATAAGTGATGTTCATGTAAATCTCCCTATTTTTTTGTAAAATATAATTATACATTTTAACAATATAGCACAAAGTAAAAATATCCCCAAAAATTTGCCCCCACAAATCCTCATGAGTATATAAAAGTAAAAAAAAAAAAAAAAAAAAAAAAAAAAAAAGTGCTCTTGAGCACGTGAGCAATACGCAATAAAGGTTACGTGTTCTTATAAAACTTCCACCAGCAATAA